TTTTTTTTTTAACAAAAAGCCATCGAACTACCTGATCAGACTGAATTAGGGCCGTTTGCTTTTAATGGTAGTTTCCATATTTTCTCTATGCGCGATGTGGAAGGCCTTCAGAACATGTCCTCTCGAAGATCTTATATTCTTCCTTCCTATAATCTGCGTTCACGTGGCAGCGACGTAGAAAGCTATGTGCTTCTCTATCGCACACACTTTGTTCGATGAAAGTAAACATGTTAGAAAGTGGCGTTAGTTTTCAATTCTTTTCTAAACGCTCCCATAATCATGACTTAGTTCCCCTAAATCTTCCTAATGCGAAACCAGAAACCTGAGTATTTGTCTATTGAAATTTATATGAAAATCGAGCAATGGTGGTGCAGTGCCTCATCGTAACCTGAGCGTTTACAGAAAAGCAGATGAAAAAATTGAATCATTTTTCCATGATAGTCTTCCTCAGCTGAACACGGTCGTTTTCGATTTAAAGTTCAGCGTTCAGCACGCATTCGAATTGAGCAGCTTTCAGAACAGCCTGTTAAGATAGTTCATATAGTTAACAGTGCAATAGCTTTTGCAGTGCTTACATAAAAAAAAATCTGCGCCATCTCTTCCCTATTGTGCACGCTGTTGATGAGATTGCACAGAGGTTTGAGTTCGACGAGATCTAACAAGCAAACAAGGCAAGGACATGGTCAAATATACAAAATATATTTGTAGTTCTTGTTTTATTGTCATATTTGCAACTTTTGAAAGGAAATTGACTGGCCATGGTCAAGATATTACCAAACGAGATCTTGCTATATTGTCAAAACAGACTTCAAATATGCATCTGCTTCACATCTTTCAAGGAATGCTTTTCGAAAGGCAAAAAAACAATTTACCGGTCTAATCGGGTCTCTCCTTTTAGTCGATATGAATACAATCAAATCTGCCTCAGATGGCAGCAGAATCAACTGCTCTGCTGGAACAATAGTAAATGTACGCCAAAGATAAAGGAGATTAAACTTCACAAATACGAACATACGTCGTGATCAAAAGAACAAAACTTCGTAACATTCACGAGGGTGAAGACCGGTTGGCACCGGTGGTCGTATAAACAAGTTCTTCAATCACGCCGTGAAAGCATATTTTCGCTGACATTGCAAATATTAGAGCACCGAAAATGAAACATGCCTAAAACAAAAACATGACTGCAACTGAAAAAATCCCCACTCTAAATGTAAATGCACTGTAAATTGTTCAAAATGTAAATAAAGAATGAAAGGAAATGAACCAAATGAAAACTTTAAACGCGTCTCAACTTTGTTTATCGTTGATAGTCCTTAGGAAAAACTGTTTCATAATTACTGCTGCAAACCTTGATGCGAACTGAATAAAATGAAACTAACAATGCTTCGAATCACAGTTCCGTACCTGTTATATCTGGCAATAAAATAACAAAAACAATAGTGATCGAAACATCGCCAGCAAAAATATCGAGCCAGCATAACGTCGCAGCGGAAAGATTATGACAGGTAAGAACTACAACATGCCGACCTGTTCTAGTTTAAATACAAAAAATCTTAATGTCACTGCTTGTCTTACTGACCGATAACACAAGAACTTGAAACAGGTGGGCACTAGTGAAACTATTATCTTTGATATAACGTAACAACTTAAATGATACTCCATTATTCAGCCATTTATTATACTGTTACCAAACTTGAGAGCGAATGTTGTTACAAGCGGTTTTACGTTGAATCGATCGAATTAACATAATTCTCTCCTATATTATAAACGCATCAATAAAATTTACAAAG